CGTCAACGTAAAAACAGTACCAAAAACCACCCACCACCCACTCGGCAGGACTTCAGAAACAGCAACAGATAGAAAAAAAAAGAAAAACTGAACCAAAAACAGGAAGTGGAAGCAAAAAGAGTGGCCCAAAATGCGAGGCTGTCAGTAAAGTACCCAAAAATCCAGCCACCCAACCACCGCCCCTCGCACCTGACCCTGTGTTGTTAACATGTTTCACTCCGGGCCAATGAAGGTGGGTCAATACACGATAAGAAATAACTATAAATATGTAGTTTTTAATGGCAAAAGAGGAGGATGTAATCTGCAGAAGGGTAAGCTGTATCAAGGTGATAGATATGACATATCTTGAATAATTGATAGTAACAGTTGTGAACTTTCGGTAATAATAATACCAGCTATTCCTGAGAGATCTTTAAGTTCTAGAATGACTAGAAATGAAATCTTCATTCTTTAGATTTTCCTCTTAACATTTTCTCTCTCTGCATCCACCCATTGCCCTCGGATGTTCCGCCTGTGGGTTGTCATACGAAAGGCAAATTTTAATGCCAACATTGACAGGTAAGCGGCATATGTGTGTGTAAATGTGATGGTTGTATGTGCGTGTGTTGGTGGTGTGGCAGGCAACCGAGCGTATAAGCCAGGCGAAGAGGAGGCGATAAAAAAGGACTACCAAAGAGAGAGAGGGGAGGAGTAGAGGGAGACCTCCCACGCATGACACTGTATCCAGGCACTCAGACGTCGCACAGCTTTAGAGCCAATTGTGCCAAAGTGTGTGTGTGTGTGTGTGTTTGTGTATGTGCGTGGGTGCCTGTCTGTGTATTTGTCATTATTGGCAGCTTAGGCAGCACACACACAAACACAAACACTCGCGCACAGGCAAAAGCGAAAAACAAATCGAAAAAATATTAACAACTTATTCCTTTTGATTTTTTATTGGGCCATAGGCTGTTGCCACGCTTATTCAGCTAGAATGCATCAGTGTGAGTGTGAGTGTGTGTGTGTATGTCTCTGTATGTGTCAGCTTATCTGTGTGGCATTTTAAGACTCTCAATTTCACTGTCTTTTTTACCATCTTCTCCTTTTTTTTTGACCGACTTGAAATGGTCATTGGAGCAACACACGTTATCCGGTCAGTACCATTAGAAACTGACTCGAATCGTCTTTTTTGGAGGAGGAGGAGGATGGAGTGGTGGTGGAGGGGTTTGGGGATTAGGTAGCAAAGTATATGTGTCACTCAAGGGCAAAAAATGTGTAATACAATTGAGCAAAATGATACCAAGTGCCATGGAAACCTTTGAGATGTGTCTTTTCGGGGGGCAGTTTTTTGGTTGGGGAATTATACATCTTAGTAATGGATTTTGTGAAATTTTATATAAAATTTATTTATATTTTACAATATTTAATAGTGGTAATATCAATTAATTATTTTTAGTAAAAACTGCGATTGAAAAATGTGAAACAGTTTTTGAAATATAAAAAAATTAAATTTCTGTCTAAATTTCTAAAAAAAAATCTAAAAATAAACAACAGAGTTAGTCGTTGATGAAATTTACTTTGAATAAGAGCAAGAAAGTCATCGTGATTAGTATTAACTAACTTTAAAGACAGAAAAGAACTTTAAATTTACTTTGAGGGATTAACTTTCATAATTTAAAGCATACTTCTAGGCTCCACCTTTCAAACATTCCAAAAATTCTATTAAATTTCCCCCACAAAAATTAACTTTGTGGTCATTCAAAACAATTCTATTGCACTCCATTTTAAACCTACTAAAAAATACAACCTCCTTAGATTCAGTTTCCCTATTTCCCCTTCTATATCCCTTGCAAGGTATTGAACAGATATCTTGATCTTGATCCCTTCGCCCTGCCACCTCATGCATACATATGTGCTCATTTCACGCCTCGTGTTAATGGCTTAATATATATATACACAAACACACATACAACCACTTATGATGCAGGGGTGCCAGATGTAAGAATGGGCTTGGAAGAGAAGGAGAAACTGAAGCCTCCAGCAAACAGCCAGGCATGAAAATTAATGATATTTTAATGTAAAAACAATACCAGCCACTTAAGCCGCATTCGTATCCAATGGCTTGGTTATAGTATGTGTGTTTTGGGGTGGGGGGCCGGTTGGGAGAAATGGTTTTGGTTATTTCAATTTTCAGGGAAAAACCTTGTGAGCCGCGACTCGGGAAGCCCTAAGCCTAAAAAGCTGATGAGCAACCCCGAAAAATTGGTGAAAACTCATACACATTTTCCCCCTTTCATTTTGCCCAGCCCGCCAGGATTTGCGTTTTTGTTTTTTTTTTCATATATATTTTGTATGCTGATACCACGGCGTATACGCAATATGCCTGGCCGAGTATATTAAATTCAACGTAGTTTCGTCTCCCTCACAAAGCACAATGCTGAACGAGAACTAACAGGACGATGGAAAGAACCAACGAACGAACGTTCAAAAATCAAATTATTACTCTGCTTTTTTTTTTTGTATATTTTTCTGCTTCCTTTTTTTTGGCATTCTTTTGCAAAATAAATATGGAATTTGGCTGAGCAGGGTAGGCGAAAAAAGGTGGAAGCTGGAATATACATTTCAAGGCTGTAATTGTTTGCTCTGGGACTACCAGCTACCCCAACCACCCCCCTCCCACCACCACCTCCCTTCAAAAATCCCCTTTTTGACGCTACTTTTTGTTTGCCCGCCCGAGTCCTTTGTTGGATGAAATTGAAGTTGAAGCTTTGTGCAGCATTATCTGAGAGCATTGCCTACGGGAAAACCTTTCTACAGAATCAACAAAAAAATTTATGAAATACAAAACAGAGAGAGAGAGAGTGAGAGAGAGTCGTAAAAGATAGAGCTGGAAAAGGTCTGCCAATTACGATGGGAAATGCAAATAACAAGGCTGCACTTTCAAGGAATGCAGTTGGGAAATCAATAAATTTATATATCTCTACTCTCCCATTTTCATTCAGCATTCAGCATTATTATTATTATTATTATTTTTCTTTCATCCTGGCCATATACCTTTTGAACCCAAGCAAATCAGTGTTATTTGATAAAGAAGAAGAAGGGGAGGGAGGAGAAGGAGAATCTCAGACCCAATCATTGGAATTCCTTTTTAATAAAGTCCCAACTCTGGCAGCTCCTGTCGCCCGGAGGCTCAACCTTTGAGGTGGAAACTTTGCCAAATCGAGACATGAGTTGAGGCTGCCAAGCAAACTTCGCCCATGAGCATAAGTGTAATTAAATTTACGCATGCCCTGCCCTGCCATCTCTTACTTTCTCTATATATACCTTCTTGAGCACCTGCACCCTCGCCGCCTCAAGTATCAAGTAACGACGACTACACTGGGGAAAAAGGGAGCCCTTAAGACCTGGGAAATGCAGAGCGCGGAAATTTTGAGGTTCCAAAGCTAGAAGCGACTTTCTAGATTAACTTAAATATTTCTTGTCTATAAATCTCCATAATCTCAGCTAAATTCAAAAGTTTCTAACATATTTCTAAGAGTGTCATTTCCCCAAAAAGAAATCTTCCACACTTCGCTCATTTTTGAAGGAGGGGGGCGGCGCTGACGCCCTCAAAGAGCGCTTTGATTTTCTCACGCCGATAAAATCAAAGACTCCAAAAGACAGACAGCCAGATTTAGGGATTAAGAAGGCGGCAGTTGAGTTAAGCAGGAAAGGCAGGGGGCAGATGGCAGGGGGAGGAAGGAAAAGCAGGTCGTGGAGGAGTGCTCTTTCGATTTTCGACAAGGGTCCTGGCAGTTGTCCTACTTCCACAGATTTCGGCGCTAATTCACTTTAGCGCGACCAAAAAACCAAATTAATTGCTGACATTTTCCCCAATACAAGTGATTTCGATTTGCTTTTTCATATATATATATGGGAGTATATATCAGCCACAAACTGAAAGTAAAAGCAAAACCTATATATATGCGCATAAATTACAGAAGCCGAGGCTGCGAGTTTCCGGCTGCTTGACTGCCCGCCCAAACGATTCAATTAAATGACCCCGAAAGCTAATCGCCCGTTGCGATTGACTTCGGCTAAGAGAAAAATCAAAATCAAAATGAAGATGAAGTTGAAGTTGAAGTGGAAGACATGTCCCGGACCTTAAGGCCACTTTATACTGTATGTTTGGGACAGGTGAAACTACTTTTCGACATTGAGCCATCATCGCAGGTTGCTTGGCATCTGGAAATTCCAGAAAATCCCCTTTGAAGAGGCGCACTATACAGAGGAATCTGTTTCAATTTGCTTCGAATTTATGGCCAACTTTATTCCCTCCTCACTCCTGCCATTGACAGGCTTTTCCCCGGCACACCAACACACACACACACACACACACACATAGAGAAAAAGTTTCGTGAAAAGCGGGAAGGCCAGCCCCTCTCTCTCTTAACCAAAAAACCATTCGCATTGAAAATGCTTTGCGGCCATGTCAAAAACATTCGCCAAGTGCAATCGAACGAAGGCAAAGGTAATTGTAATTAATTTGCTAAAGCTGAACGGAAAATCGGAAAACTCAATCCAAAATGGCAACACACAGCCGTTCCGTTTTATCCAAATGCCACAGATTGTTGCATTGTTGTTTGGTTTCGTTTCGAAGTAAGTCTATTTGGTTTTTGTTTCGGTTAAAACCCAAATAGAAACTATCTCACTAGTTGGTTTTCGGTGTTGGTTTTGGTTTTGCGGGAGTGTTAACTGAGAATAAATAGAGGGAAAAGTTTGTTAAGTAAAACTACAATTCAGTGGAAAATGGGGTATTGATGGGAAACTGTGGCTTTTAGTTAATGATAATTAATGAAAATATATCGAAATTTGTTAGATTTTGAAGTCATATAATCATAGAATAAGGTTGTTGGTAGCTATAATCTACCAACTTTCAAAGTTTAAACCCTTTTCCTTCAACTTTTCTCTAGAGAAATCCCTTTCCTTCTCTAACAACCAAAGTTAATCATTAACCTTCCATAAAACTCAATCAAACTAACTAGTTTAGCGTACATAATCCCATCTCTATTTATTAAATTTAATCACAGCTCAAGGGGGAGTTAGAAATAGTCACTAAAAACCCAAATCCTAATAGGCATCCCTTTGGCGTAGCCGTCGATTTCGCTCCTTTTTATCCAAATACGTGGTCAATGAGGATTTACTAGGCACTGTGACCAGGATGGGCAGCAACTGCTGGCAACGCTGCATCACATTCCTCAGTTTCTTGGCCGCATCATAATCGAGAATGATGATGCCAATAGTGGCCTTCTTGTAAACCAAAAGAAAGAACCTCTCAAGTTCCTCTTGGGGAGTATCTAAAGTTAAAAGTTAAACCAAGTTAAGGTATCTAAAATATCCAAACAACCCACCGCTTTCCACCATCATATAGTTACGAAACCTTTCCCTTTGATAGCCAACTCCAGCTAGAAGAAAACCCAGGGTAACCTCCTAGTCATAACACGAGGGAAATTAGTGTTTGTAAATAGTAAGAAATCGAAAGATAACCCACAGGAGAAGCCATCACAGCTATTCGCAGGACATTCGGATCCTCCACAATATGAACATGATGCGGTTCCACATCACTTAAAACGCTTTCGGTGTCCGATCGTTCGCCTCCATCGATTTCCTGCTTTTCCTGCTTTTCCGCTACGCTTGAACCTTTCTTAGCTGTATTCGTAGGCATTTTGGAATCTCAACTCCCCCTTTTCTGTTCTTTTTTTTTAAATCGAAAAGAAATTTTGTGACAGAAAGTAAACAGGTGATCAGTTTTGGACTTCCCTTCTTAGTTCTGCCAAAAAAAAAAGAAGTTATTTTAAAGAACTTTAAACAGGGAGAATCCCCTCTTTTCAGAAATCAAAGCTAAAAGTTAAACTGATGAGCTTTTGATGAGTGGCAGCCGCATTGATTGGGGATGGGAAAATGTGTGTTTTATTTTTACAACTTTTTAATGAGTTTTCAATAAAGTAAATTCGGGGCAGCTTAAGTCGTAAGCCCAGAGACTCAATCTCAATTTCGGTTGGCAAAATTCGTTTTTTATTTTCGGATTTTATTATAATTATTCAGTTTAAGGGCTTTCTCTCTCTCTGGGGCCAGCCCAAAATGAAAATTCAATTATGACATGACATAAATTTTCCGACTTTCTGCTTTGCCAAAGCAACTTTCATGCCAGCAACTTAGTATTTGCAGCTTATAATTATTCAATCAATAAACTGTAAGACTAAGTAATGAACTTATTTCACTTAATTAGGCGGTGTTAAGGTGATTGGCAGACACAATGTTTTTGGCCTTAGTGAAGTGAAGCAGCCCAAATAGACTTAAGTCTCGTCTTCATTTTCCAATGTAACCACATAAACTGAAATGCCACATTCATATAGCCATTATAGCCAAATCCCTGGCATGTCCGAACAACACAAGCGAATTATTGCATTAGCCTGGTGAATAATGCGTTAAAATTGGACAAGGCAGGCTTGGCTTGACTGTGCCAAGGGAATATGTTTATCTACTCTCGCATATCGTTTATCTAACACACACACGAGGAATGCCAAAGATATTTGCAACTTGGTTTAGCTTGGCAATCGCAAAAATTCCACATTCTCGGGATATTTGCAGGCTCGCTGATGATGATGATGCTCCTGCTGCTCCTCCTCCTGCTGCTTCTCTTCAGCAATCCCATCTATACAGTGCTGGGAAAATTCAAACAGAAATCAAAACTTCATTGTTTTCAGTTCAGCGATTGCTGGTGCAAACAGAAGGAAATTGAGTTTTCCCATGTCCGAGCTTAGCTTGGAGGGTTTTTCCCTCTCTGTTCTGCTTATCAACTTATTGGCTGGTTTCGTAATGATTTGCTGATAATAAACTGGCAGTTGTTGATTAATCAAAAGGGGGGTGGTGGTGGAAAGTAGTTTTAAAAATGTCAAAGTTCTTAAGGATTGCTGAATACTCTTTCCATAAGAGGCTACTTTGGTTCTAAGTTAATTTCTTGCGGGTTTTAAGCAGGAATTAAAAGGTTATTAGGTTGAGAGATTTCAAATCGTCTTAAAGATTTCTTTTTTTAGCGTTTTCAAACCTCTTGAATTGGTTTTTTAAAGATTTCAAAGATTTCCTTTTGTGATAAATCAACATACATCGAAGATTTCCTTGTAAAACGCTTTCAATTCCAATCAGAGTTATCTTTTTGATTGATTTTAATGAATTTTCAGCGCTTTCCAATCACCAGCGATACTTTCTAGTGCCCCATCGCTTCTACTTTTATATTTATTTACTGCACATTTCCATTTTCCCAGCACATTTTGTGCCGAGAATTGCTTTGTTTTCGAATCCACGCCTGATTGGAACGAGGAATTCTCATTAAGGACATGTCTGTGGTGACCACTTCCTTTGCCCCAACCCCATCCCCATCCCACCAGCAAGCTGTTTATTATGTGGCAAAGGGGGACGGCGGACGACGACGAGTCCTTGGTCCGTTTGCCATTTGCCATTGGAAAAGTTAAGCCTGCCTCCGAGTTGCACACAGATGTTGCACATTCACATTCGCATAATGTTGCGATTGCCGGGTGTCCTTGCCACACACACACACTGGCTTGGCTCATCCGCCCACAAAGGCGGCTGCAGTGCAACTTTAATAACAGCACAAATTGCGTAAGCCACCAAAAACCATTAATAACTTTTTCCCTGCACCTGTACAAAATGTTCAATGGCGACGGTGTTTTCCTTGGACCACGGTACGTATGCGTGATATTAAGGAGAAGAAGCAGCAGCAGCAGCGGCAGCAGCAACATCTGTTGCCTGCCTTTCCCCCCTTGGTAAGCGAGCGCTGTTGTGTGCCTTTTAATTATTGATTCCGTGTTGCCATTGAAGTGATTAATATTTTGCGAAACAGCCAAAACGTGGCCGCAGGATATATTCGGGATCGGAATCGGAATCGGAATCAGGATTGGATTCTGTTAGCCAAGGACTCTCTCCTCCTCATCGAACTCCCACCGATTCGCAATTCGAATTCGCTATGGACCACAGTGGCCAGGGGCTTCCCAAAGCGATTGCCACTGATTGTTTTATTTCGCTTCATAATTGCATTTTCTTGTCACGGCCATGTATGAGCGCAAGGGTGTATGACTGTGTGTGTGACTGTATGTATGTGTATGTGCCACAAATTTGCACAGAGAGTTGGAACCCACATTTACAGTTCATCCAACTGAGTTGTTAAGCGTCCGTCAGTGGGGAAAACAGGTTAAATAATTAAAAAACATGTTCGTTCGCCGCAGTAAAATAATAAAAAAAAAGATGCTTCGAATGTGGTTTTCTTTTTTTTGGAATTTTCAATTCCATTTACAACATGGCCAGGGAAATTTAAAACACAATTTCCAAAATGAAATGGCAGTTGTTAAGAATTGTTAAGAGGAAAGTTTGTTAAGCAGGTGTAGGAATAATAAATTAATTAAAAACTTAATTAAAATGATCAAATGATGTCTTTTTAATAAATCAACTTAAAAGTTCTTTTTTTTCCCTCAAATCAAAATACTAAAAAAAACAAATTCAAGAGAAAAAGTTCAGAAAAAAGTCACAGACTTAAACTTAAATCAAACTCTCGCTTTATCACACTTTCATTAACATTATTCAAATGCCAAAGAAAAACTGTTAATTATTTACTTTCCTAATAAAGCCCAACTGTTTCCAATTCGGAATGATGGGCCATCCATCATTTGGTGTTGCCACAAAAAAGGAAAAAACAAAATAGAAGGTGTTTGCCGAAACGAGGCAATGGGACTGTGCAACAATTTGCCCAACTCGAATGACACTGGGAAATGGGCGAAACTTTGGCAAATTTAATGCATACACAGGGAGAAAAAAGGAGTTCGAAAAAGCAAAAAGAGAGTAGAAAGTTGGCTTACAAAAAAAATCCAAAACTAATACAAAATTAGAACTTCAAGTCAGCTAACAAATAGCAAACCTACTTTCTAACCACCCACTTTTTCTCTCTCTGCATTATTCAGAGCTTACCCTTAGACCCATGCAGTGTGTGTGTGTGTTCTTGCATGTGTGTGTAGTGGATATCGGTGTGCTCTCGTTTTAGGGCGAGGAAAAGGCATCAATCTTCCTCCATCATTGTCAGTGGCCGATGACGATGACGATGACGAAACAAGAGCGAACCAACAAATACAGCATTTCTACACACCCCCTACCCCCCTTTCACTGATTTTCCATCACCCCCTGCAGTTTCCATACCCCCCTGCTGTTTCCCTTTCACATTTCTCATTTCCGCAGCAGGCACACAAAGTAAATGAAAAATCATCGCCGCCCGCCGCCTGTCATTTCATAATTTTAAAAGCTCCAAAAAAAAAAGAAATATTTATAATGCGAATATGAATATATATATAGATCATATATAGGATATATACTATATATATAAGCCATCATATTTGCAATTCGCTCTTCCTGTTTTGTTTGTCAATAAAGCCGCCGCGCGTAATAAATTAATTATTTATTTGCCATCAACATCAATATTATTTAATACATTTCCCTTTCTCCCTTCTTTTCTTTTTTTGATGCCACGGAAAAAGGTGGAAAAAGCGTGAGAGTGAGTGAGTGGGCAGTGTAAATTAGCGTAATTTTAAATTACAAAATAAAGAGAGGAAAATTAAGCTGATTTGTGGGTTTGTAAGAGGCAAATAAAGGTGTTTCATGATCATATTTTTAGTTAGTTTAGTTTTTCCAACTACAAATTCTAAAAAGAGATGAAAAAATAACACAAAAATATCCCAAATTTAGTATTTTTCAACTTAAAGTAACTAATTTTCACTTAAATCATTTAATTTAACAACTTTCCTAGTTAACAAACCCAATTTACTGCCGAAAAAAGCACTTCTAATGCAGTTAAAAAAAAACAACATAAATATTTCAAATGCTGTTTGTTTGGCCAACTAAAATGGCTTTGTTTTGATGATGGCTTGGACCTACTGAAAACTCATAATTCTAATGCAATAATTCACTCATCTGTGTGCTGGATGCTGCCTGTTGGCTGTTGGATGCATAAACAAATTGAAAAACTTTCGCCCAACTTTCACTTTGCACCTCTCCTTCCCCCTTCTTTTTTTTTTGCCTTACTTTTTTACCACCAAGAATCGCTCAAAGCGACCGCAGGCAGAGCCATCTTCGTTTTTCCCTTTATTTTTTTTTTTGTTTTTTTGATGCCTTTTCCATTTTCCACAAACACACTCACACACGTCTACAACCGCCGCCGCCCACTGAAAACAACTTATATTTGAACAGTTTTACGGCAAAAGTTTTTCACAGCCAGCTCTCGAAAGTGTGTTTGGACAGGAAAAACCGCAAAAAGGAAAAAGTGGGGGGAAACAACAGAAGGAAAATGAGGAGATGACGGAAAAATCCAAAGTCCACAAAATATGATGAGACGAGGGTCTAATCCTAGTAGTTGAGCGCCGTTTCATTGGGCTTCCACTTTCTTTTCAATCTTTTTTATTCTTTTTTGTAGATATTTTTAATATTTTCTGTCTTGTTTTTTATGACGAATTGGATTGGAAAGTCTGGTAAATCTCATGCTCAACTTAAGGAAAATAAAAAAATATATACAACATCCACAGATGCGACTTGGCAAACAAATTTCAAATGAAAGTTTTCGGAGGGAAATCTTTGTTTACCTGAGAACAATGGAAGCCAAAGTAAATTCCGGGCCAAACATACAGGCAAAACTCAAATTTTAGACAGTTTATTAAGTTTCCCCGGAAGTTTCACTCTGCCCTTCTATCTATCTCTCTTACTCATTATGACTCCATCTCTGTCTTTCTTAATTTAGGTTAGCATTTGTGGGCCAAAACTTTTTAGGATTCCCTCTCAACTTGGCCGTCGAGAGAACTTTTAGAATCACTTTCGCTTCGTTTACCCAAAGTTCGTGCGGGAG